CTCCCTCCCTCCCTCCCTCCTGCTATCTCAGTGCACCTACTCACTCTTTCAGTTAAATGAAGCACTTTCCGGCTTCTCTCTGTCGCATCTGAATCACCAGCGTCCCTAGACTCTTGCGCTCTGGGGTGATCTGAACGCGAGCCCCGCGATGCTGCGAGCGGCCGCTAAGCGGCCACCGGGCAGGCAGCGCTCGGCGTGGAGACCCGGACAGGCATGATTCACCCCCGGCGACAAACGGGGAGGGCGCAGGGTTTCCTCCTGCCACTCCGCACGGTGCACAACTGGAAGTTTATCAAGGGTTGATTTCTGGAATTTTCCCTTTGAATAGTCTCACACTGTGGTTGCCTGGGGCTAACGGAGACGCTGGAAAGCGAAACCACGGATAAGGGGGGCTGCTGGACATGAGAACGGCGCTGACGCGCTGAAGAATCGGCGCTGGGCGAACGGGTCACGGGGCGGGAGGGCGGCGGGCCGCTGGCCCGTGCAGGCTGCTTCCACCCGGCCTCCGCCTCCGGCCACGCGCCACGTTCTCTTCTAAGAACAAGACACAAACAGGCAGCCTTCTGCTGAGTGTTGCTGAGGACGAAAGGAAAGGGGTGTCGGGGAAGGTAAGTTCTCAATGTCAGTGGCATTTTAGAAAATAAATCAAGGTTTTACGAAGCATTATGCTTAAATAGCCAGTAATGAGATAGGTGCATTTACAAAAAACTATTTAAAAGGGTTGCAAAGAAAAAAACAGAGCAGCATATTTAAAATTCATTCATCCCCTGCCTCACTCGCTATTAAAACAAAGAACCCAGGAGTGCACAAAGGCCTAAGGGTGTCACCGACAAGGTTAATTTAAAAAATTTTAAAGGCAATTAAAATATGGCTACGCTATTTTACAATCTATACATATGATGCATTTCAATTAGACAGAGCTTGATCAGGCGGGTCTTTTGTTTCATAGAGTGGATGTTACATTGTGTCAAAAAATCTAGCAAAATTAAAGCTGGTTTACACACATTCTTATAAAAATAGAAGTGATTCAACACGATTAACCTTTCCTGGGACTGGAAGGAAATGTCAATAGTGTGCTATAGAGAGAGTATTTTTGAAAAAACATATTCAATATATTCACTTAACCTATCCCTCGATGAAAAGGTGATATTTTTTAAATGTCTGAGAGAGAGAAATGCAGAAGCATCTCAAGCCTATGAAGGTCCTCGACCTTGTTCAACACAGGAGGGAAAGCACGGCGTGGAAACCCCACTTCTCAAGCAGAGGCCCGGAGGAGCAGTCACCACGTCCTCAGCGCCCTGTTGCGGAGACACGGGGAGGCTGTGCGGTGGGGGTGAGAAGAGGCTCGGCGGTGGCTGTGGCTGTGGCTGTGGCTGTGGCCGTGGCCGTGGCTGTGGGAGGGGGCTGGNTGAGACACGAGGAGGCTGTGCGGTGGGGATGAGAAGAGGCTCGGCTGTGGCTGTGGCTGTGGCTGTGGCCGTGGCCGTGGGAGGGGGAGGGGGCTGGGAAACCGTGGGAGCAGCGTGCTGTTTCTCTTCCATACAGTAACCCGCCTCCAGGCGTCTGCCTCGGCCATGTTCTGACAACACTATGAAAAGACGTGGGCACACAGCCTGTCAGTTGTAGCCATGCTTGCAGGAAGGAAAATGAAAATGACGTGTCCACGCGTAAGAAAAAAGTGAGGTATATACGCACGATGGAATTCAATGGTGCGACATTTTTAATGAGGAAAATGTCCATGTATTGCAAGGGAGTGGTCTCCCGAATGTCGCATATAACGCAGGCTGGGAAACACAGCAAGGCGGAGCGTCCCCTTCCTACTTAAGGAGGCACGACACAGCCCACGCCAGCGCCCGCACCACTGGTGATCTGCTTACGCTTCCATAAAATGGGGGTGTTTTCAATAATGGTTTACCTGTGGCGGGATATTGAAGCGAATGGAGTTAAAAGCTCTATTTCTTTTAATGCAACTTGTTTTAGAGCTTTGACTTTGGAATTATGTCAATACTTTACATAATTATTGCAACAAAATAAATTTTAAAAGCAATTTGAAAAGAAATAAAATATGTATGCAATTGATGACATAAGTATACAGTAACTGCAAATATGTCCTAATGAGAAAACGAAGGGTGAAAATCTGGTCACTGCTTTCAGTGACCGTACCTTGGTGATGGTGTTGATTTTCTAACTGTACCTAATATCGATACTATTGTGGGCACTGAAACATAAGACAAACGGGCAATTCTGTTGATATCACTTCGTAATAGGATTTTTGCTAAGAAGCAACAACTGTAAGATTAGTGACTTGAAGTCAAAATTCCATAACTCTGGATTTGAACTGGAAATGTCAGTATATCTATGTTGCAGTTTATACTTATTTTTTTAAGCATGTTTCCCAGCTCTTTAACTGGGCCTAGAAACAGTGCAGCCCAGTAACAATGAGCACACCAGGCACTGAGACTGGGGCTTCTAAACACCATTTCCTTAGAAAAAGGGCCGAGTCCAGGTTGTTGAGGAAGAGTTAGAAAAATCCAGGACATCTTGTTGTATGAGAAATGGGGACCACGTGGTTATTTTACTATTTCTCTTCACTTAGTATGTTTACATTTTTCCATAACAAAAAAAGGTTTATATTTTTTAAATAAATGAGAAATGAACTAATTTTTTAAAGTACCTCAACTATGAAGATAACATTTGAAAATGGATACTTACCAATGTTCCCATGTTATCTGGTTTTGTGAAGGAAGGTTTATCAGTAAAAAAATCTCATTAAAAAATTAAAAACAGACACAGAATCTTCCAAATTTCAAATAAACATTTCACTGACTTTTGAATCCTTTTGTTAAAAATAAGAGCAAAATACCTTTCAATGAGTTTTCCTTACCAATATATTCACACATATATTATGTAAATCTTAATGTAAAAACCATTGCATTGCTGCAGGTACATTTGAAAAAAGCGTATCATAATTTACAAAGCCAACGATGCAATTAGCTACTTCCATTTGGATCTCTGAAATAATTTTGAGGTATACTGTTCAGCTATGATCAATGTGAAAACTAAGTAATGAAATAAATTGAACTTAAAACCTGACCATTCAATCAAGGCATCACATAGTTTCCAGCTACAATTTTCAAAATCAATGAAGCATATTTACTGACCCTGCAGTCATTCAAAACTAATATATAATGAGGTCTGGACCCTTACCTCGCTCCACATGTAAAAGTTAACTCAAAAAGGACCAACGACCTAAGTAAGCTACCAAATGAAAACATGGGGGTCAATTTTCATGATCTTGGACTTGGCAGTAGATTCTTACATTGACACCAAAATACAAACAACAACAGAAAAAACAGATGAATTGAGCTTCATCAAAATTAAAAACTTTTGTTTTTATCAAGGGACCTTATCACCAACCTACAGAATAGGAGAAAGGCTTGGAAATCATATATCTGAAAAAGGTCTAGTGTCCAGAATACGGAAAGAATGCTTCCTACTCAACAACAAGGCAAACAACCCGACTGAAAATACACAGAGGCCTTGAATACGCCTTTCTCCAAATGGCAGACAAGCACATGAGAAGATATTCAACACTACTGGTCATTAAGGAAATGCAAATCAAAACCGCAATAAGGTACCACTTCGCAGTCGATAGGATGGCTATTAAAAAAACAAACAAACAGAAACCACACCCAGAAAACAACAAGCGATGGTGAGGATATGAAGGAAGGGGGATCCTTATAAGCTGCTGGTGACAGTGCAAAACGGAGCGGCGGCTATGGAAAATCATTTGGTAGCTCCTAAACACAGAATTAAATATGACCCAGCATTACTCATAACAGCCAAAAGGTAAAAACAATGCAAACACCCATCAACAAGTGAATGAATAAACACGCTGCGATACATCCATGCAATGGAATATTATTCAGCCATAAAAAGGAACAGTTTGGATGAACCTCAAAAACATTACGCTAAGAGAAAGAAGGCAGGCACAAAAGGTCACATTGCATGATCCCTTTCATACGAGGCATCCAGAATTGGCAAATCCATAGTGGCAGACCACGGCGGTGGTTATGGGATGGGGGTGAGGGGCAATGCGGAGTGATTACTTAATGGATATGGGCTGTTCTTCTGGGGGTAATAAAGTGGTTGTGAAACTAGAGGGAGCTGGGTGGTCACTGCATTGTGAATGCACAAAATGCCACTGAATTATACACTTCAGAAAGGTTAATTGCATGTTACATGAATTTCACCTCAATTAAAAAAAAATAATAATAATATAATGCAAAGTAAAAGGTGTTTTGTAAATGTTGAAAGGTTTTTTAAATATTTAAAGTTGTAAATGCTTCAGCTCTCAGTCTTCTTTAATTTCTTTTTAAATATATATTGTTTCATACCTATTTGTATGTGCTCAAACGGTTTAGCATGATTTAAAATTTTGGCTAGTGCTGCTCTAGCCTGAGTAATAAATCTGTAACTTGCAGGGTGAATCCACAGACATACTTTATGTACCTTGGCTGAATAATATTGCTAATTTGGTCTTCAATACCTTTATGCAGCTTTTGCATTTTCTAGTTAACATAGTTCTTTCATACCTTATTTTTGTGATCCAAACATTAATGTTTCTTGACCCCAATGATCAAACAGATATTTGAATTTTCGGCCCTCCGCTAGGGACTGGGCGTAACTAAGATGGTTTCACGCCAACAGCTCTCCTCCTGTCTGACCAGCACTAAACGCGGGGGGAAGGCCCGACTCACCCACACAGGGCAGCGAGTAGCCGAGCTGCGGGTCGTGGACGAACTGCCGGTCGTTGAGCCTGGTCACGCAGTACAAGTGGAAACAGTCCAAGCAGATCACGTGGCGGTGGTTGCACTGGAAAACCAGGACAGGGCTCCTGCAAAGAGAAAGGCAGACATGGCCTGCGGTTCTTCTGAGGGTGGGGAGGACACTGAGCGACCCGGTGGGGCTGCGAGGCGTGGTCGGCAGAGACCCCGGCTGAGCGCCCAGCTCGTGGATGCCCGGCCGCGTCTCCTAAACTGGAAGCGCTCGGCTAAGGACCCAGAACACAGACTTTCCTGATTTTATGTTTTATGTTAACAGATTTACCGATCCACTGTTTACACCAGAGCTCCCATGCACCCCCTTTCTAGAAGCCTTCCCTGGCTCATAATTACCAGTTAACCTACTAAACACCCCCACACTTCTATGTATTTCCATCGATCCATCATCACATCATAGGATCGATACGTGTCTCCTTTCTTAGAGACTGTGGTCCTTGAAGGTAGACGCCGTGCCTACTTTACACTGATGTTCTCATAGTACCAGGCACTGGGAGGTTTTAAATAGATGTCCCTTGAATTTAGTTATAATAATATATAGAATCTGAATTTCCCCAAAGTCAAAAGAAAAATTACCATTGCGCCAAAGCAGTTAGGGTGAACAGGCGCTCGTGTTTCACAGGCAAGCGGAAACGGGGAATTCTGACTCAGCAGAGATTCTTCTACTGTAAGATTTATTTTNGGGCAAGAGGAAATGGGGAATTCTGACTCAGCAGAGATTCTTCTACTGTAAGATTTATTTTGTCTATTCTGCCACCCACATCCCACCCAAATATCCAGTTTCTTAAATTAAGGTTAGGAGATCACTATAAATTGATATAAACAAGTCCAAAAAGTTTTGGGTTCCTTTAAAACACTTTGTAGGGGGGAAAAAAAATCTCCTGAATAGCTATATATTTTTGCTAGTAAATGAACCATACGATTTTACAGCAAAAAGGAGACAAACTGAATATATTAAAATTTGAGATCAGCCCCAAGGCAGTTTTAATAGTAACAAAGTCATTGCCGTTTATTTAGATGAGCCTGTTCTGTGTGTAATGAGAATGAAATACACAGTAGTCTTTATTCCACACAGACTCCTAACAGATCTGCTTTTTCAAAAGCCCGTTCCCCAGAAAAACCGTTACTGTTACCAACGGTTACTGTTACCAATACCAAACGTTACAGATACCAAAGGTTACTGTTACCAAAAGACAATTTCTTAACAATTAAAATAGTTTCAAAATTCTGTTTTCCCACTTATATCAAAGCAGTATCTAATACAAAACAATGTGGAAAAAAACAGCCTTGATATTGTAATGTCATAGATCTCGAGGATAATGGTCACCTAAATCTGAGCTAGAGTGTCCCCAATATTGTTATGTGCTCCCGTGTCCCACGTCTGGACCCACGGGAGTCCATTCAGGGCCCATTTTCAGTGAAACATGGACTGTGGTCTGAGCTGCCAACCTTTTTCCTTGTAGCGATTTTCCCCTGAAGATGATAAAATGTAACACTCCCTGCTTCTGACCCCGCGTCACCCGGCACTCGGCTCATTCACTCCGTGACCCCAGAGCTGCTCTCCCGCACCTCCTCTCACAGCCGGTCCCGGCTTTAGCAACGCGGTCGATTAGGCTGTAGGGACCCCTTATCCGCTGTCAACCCGTGGAAACACGGAGGGAAATGGCAGAACATTTATAAAAACATTCCTATATGCAGCCAGGTTAAAGGGAAGGCTTAGCCGTCGCCCCGGAGAGGAAATCAAACTTGGAGCCACAGCAGGGAGCAGGTGAGCGACTGCCAGGCCCCGGGGGGAGCTCGGGTGCACGGCCCGCAGCCCGCGGTCTGGAAGGGGGCTCGTCTCCATCCCTGCCGTTAGAAGGACGACTAGAAGAGTTCTCTTGCACGCACAGGGGACATTTACAGCTTTGCATTTCCATTAAAACGTGGTCGGGAAGAACTGAGAACGCCTAGACAGTCCACAAGCATCCCTTGTTCTATTTAGTGATGGCGCCCTACTATTTGGAGCAGAGTAGCAAGAAGCGATAAATACGTCAGAGGCACCTGTGAGGTGAACCCTCTGCAGAGGAAGGAACCCAACACCTTAGGAAAGGGCTTAGAGGCCCAACGTTCAGGGCATAGAGGGACACACCCCACAAAACAAAGGACACAACAGTCCATCTTGCCCCTCCCTCCACTAAGAGCCGCAGGGGAGTGTGCACATGGTGTCCAGGTGATCACTGGCCCAGGAAGGGGAGGGGGAGTGTGCACATGGTGTCCAGGTGATCACTGGCCCAGGAAGGGGAGGGGGAGTGTGCACATGGGGTCCAGGTGATCACTGGCCCAGGAAGGGGAGGGGGAGCGTGCACATGGGGTCCAGGTGATCACTGGTCCAGGAAAGGGAGGGGGAGTGTGCACGAGGTGTCCAGGTGATCACTGGCCCAGGAAGGGGAGGGGGAGCGTGCACATGGGGTCCAGGTGATCACTGGCCCAGGAAGGGGAGGGGGAGCGTGCACATGGGGTCCAGGTGATCACTGGCCCAGGAAGGGGAGGGGGAGCGTGCACATGGGGTCCAGGTGATCACTGGCCCAGGAAGGGGAGGGGGAGCGTGCACATGGGGTCCAGGTGATCACTGGCCCAGGAAGGGGAGGGGGAGCGTGCACATGGGGTCCAGGTGGGCCACTGGACATCTCATGGTTCTCTCTCTCTGAAATGTCAATGGCAGAATGTTAATGTCAAGGGCCGCAGTTAAAGCCTGAGAAGTGCGTGGAGCCAGGACTTGGGACCCCTGCTGCAGGTGGTTCAGGAACAGATGAGGGATGGAAACGGCGGCATTCCTCAGGAGGACACGCTGGGACGCATCCCCTCACGGGTCTCTGTTCCTCCTGACAGTCCTCCATGCCCTTGGCTCACATTATGTCTAAATGTTAATTGATCGACTGGAAGGTGATTCTACCCCGGGGAGCCGGGTTGCAGAGCGGCGAGGGGAGGGTCACGCAGGGCTCTCGGGCACTGGGAAGATAAATGATGAACTGATGAACGCCCAAACGCCTCTGTTCACAGCTTGTTGGCATAACTGAGGGAGTCTTAGTAAAAACAGGGCAAGCCTTTCACACGTGTCGCATATCAGCTGTCCACACACCTGAACTCTTATAAATGAGTTTCTAGTCTCTGTAAAGTAGCGACAATGTTTTCATATGTTAAAATGCGGAAAATGCGCATTTTAAAACACCTTGCTGACCGGCCACGAGTACACAGGTGTCTCTGTGTCCTAACACTGCTGACCGGTCACGAGATAACTCGTGCCTGCACTTATGTTAATTTAAGTGATTTGAAACACCTCGCTGACCAGCAGCCGGCTGCACAGGGGAGTTCTGGCTCGAAACCGCCGGTCAGCGAGGTGGTAATCTGCTCTCTACCTCCTTTGTTCTCTTTTTCTCTCTCCCTCCATCTATCTGCATAAAAATCTGTCTGTTTTTCTGTCTGTCTGCTTCCTCTCCACATGTACGTTCTTCAATGACGCCCATTAAGGAGAGGTGGTGATTCCCACTTATCCATGGAAAGTGACATATCGAACACAGTGTCTGGGAAGTTTTAGATGAGTGAGATACAGAAGGAAGCAGGTCTGAACTCTAAAGGACACAGAAGTCTCACGGTGTGGACGGGAGACGGACACGAACGATGGGGATCCAGGGCGGAATATTTTCAGAGCTTAGGGAGGTAGGAAGACAGCAGCCCCGGTGGCCAGCAGCCCGGGCGTGTTCCCAGGGTCCTCGCCTCCCGGTGTTCACGCAGTTCCCTTCCATGCACCGGGGATGGACCTGTGCTACCACCGGGGAAACGCAGACGTGACGACGTGTGATTTCCAGAGCTAGATGGAAGCTTCCGCCTGGGCTCCCTCATGGGGCCACCCGCTCTCAGGAGAGTGAAAGGCCACGGCCAAGGACCCGCACGCTGTCCTACGGAGAAGGCCCCTTGGCAAGGAGCCGAGCCCCGGCCAACAGCCAGCCCCCAGCCCGAGGCCAGCCCTCCGGCGACCGCAGCCCTCGGGCGACGGCAGCCCTGGCTGACGCCCCGGCCAAGCGACCACCCGGCGAAGCTGCTCCCACACTCCTGACCCACTACTGTGCAAAGACCACATTTACTGTTGTCTTCAGCCACCATGTCTGGGGATCACTCTTTTCAAATGCAGGAGGGTAGCGAGTACAGGCTCAGAGGAGGGCGAGGTCCCTCTGAGCAGGTCAGGAAAGAACTGAAGGACGCAGGGCATTTGCAGGAGAATCAGGATCCCAGGGGACGGAGCCGGAGAGAACGACCCCGGCCCAGGGAGGGGAGACGCGAGTGTGGAAGCAGAGCCTGGAAGGAGGGTGCTGGGGGCCCCGTGGAGCTGATTCTCCATCCGCCCCAGGGAAAAGCAAAATTAAATGCAAATACATGTTTAGGGAGAGCAGGATCTTCCGAAATGCAGTGAAAAGCCATGCGAGTTAGAGTAAAAACTATTAAATGCAAATCATGGCGGAGGTAAAAATAAATTTTCCTCGCCGGCGGGAGAGTCAGCCCTTCAGTTTCGCTAACCCGACTTGACCCTGGAAAATCCACGGCATCTGTGCGACCGTGACCGACGCCAGGCCCCAGCTAGCAGCCTTCCCGGCTGCCCGCAGACCGCCGTCCAGGAGCAGCTAGGGCTCCTGGCAGCTGAGTGACGCGTCTGATTAGAGAGAAAGACTTAGAGGAGGGAAGCTACACCGTTAAGTAACTTGAATCGATCTTCTTAACAGCTGTCACTTTAAATCCCTTTCACTTAGAGGCAGCTTACAAACAATAGATCGATGAGGGGACCTCAGAACCCAGGCGCATCTTCCTTTAATCTACGTTTAGCGGCATCACCTACGAATCGCCTGAGCCCGCGGCTGGCAAAGAAGCCCCCGCACGGCGCCGCCCGGGGGAGACGCGGAGACGCTTCGCCCCGAGTCCCGCGAGCTCCTTGTCTGAGTGGCCACGGGCGCAGTCCAGTCGCGAGAGGCCCCTGCCCGGGACACGAACTGACGGACGCGTCTCCCGCCCCAACGAAGGGAAC